AAATAGATCTGATGTTATTGTAAACTGAGTGCAGCTGCCACTTCATTGTTTAGATAAAGTTAACATTTTTTTACATGTTCACCTGCATTGTGTCAGCATGTCTCAGGGTATGTGTGTGACAAGCACTTCATTTATTTTGTTGAAGACATCTAGAAAATGGGACATCTCCTTTCCATTCTCTGTCTTCTGCCCCTTCCCCTTCCTAAGCTGACAGTCCTCTTCCTCTGCCCCCCAGCAGCTCCAAGCAAACAGTTTGTTAAAAAAAAAAAACAACAAAAAACAAACAAACAAACAAAAAAAACCCAAACAAACAAAAAACCAAAAACCCAACAACTAATGTTTCGGGAATGTCAGCATGCTCTGACTTTGTCAGGCCAGCAGGAGAAACAAATTACATTGTTAGAGGCCTTCCACTGACAACTCCAGGGTACCAGTTCCTGCAGTGTAAATCTGGAAACTCTTAATGCAAATGCTGCCGTTGATTCCAACGGCTACAGTGGCACTTCACGGACAAGTGGTACTTTGGAGTTTGGTTTCACAGCACAGGGCAGTCAGTACCAGTTGAAATGACAGTCATGTTCCTGGAAGGGCTGTTTTCAGAGCCATGTGTCTATGGGAGACTTGGGCTGCGTCTAGTCAGATTCGTGGCATTACTTCAACTGTGCAAATGCAACTAGAGAGGTCCTTCTAGCCTGGTCAACCTGATCTTTTTATACTGGTTTGTACAAAGATGGTTCCTCCTCGCTGAATTATAATGCTGAAAACTATGAGGTGAATTACAGAAATGTGCAAAATCTTAAGGTTATCCAGTACCCTCGGAATTTCAAAATTCACCTAATTCACTTTTTGACTCTGCTGATCATACTGCTGCTACATTACTTCCCCTGACATGGCAGCTTTCTAGCTCAGGCAATGTTTCAGTGGTGATTCTCAAAGGGAAAGTGGGGAACAAAGAAACAGTGCAAGCCAAAAGTAACCATGGTGTGTGTGAACACTTGCAGTTCATGTTGAAGAGACATGAAATGAATTAAGGGTGTTACTTCATGCTGCAGACTCTTGGAGACTGACAGGATGACCTGAGGTTTTGCTTGACTGCCTACTGACCATTTGCTCCCTTTAGAGCACCCTTTGCTCTAAATCAGTGCAGTGGATGTTGCACAAAGTTCTGTTCTGGGAGAATGTTTCCCCTTTAAGACAACACGTCTCTCAAGATAAAAAAAAAAAAAACCCAAACAAAAACCAGCTGTGAAACACTAAACCAGAAACAGCAGTACAAATTGAAAGGTAAAGATGTAAAATAAATCCTTTTTCTTAATGTGTAATGTGTCATTAACACGCGCAAGTCAGCATTTCAGGATATAATTTGGAAAATATCTTCATAGGTGTCATACATTTTTATGGGTCTGATTCTGTTCTAAATGACTGTATTAGCAGCACTCCTGTTAACTTCAGTGGCAAGAGCATCCTGCCCAAAAGAACATCTGACACAGTAGAATCAACCTCTCCTTGTCTTTCTCGACTGTACTGTATGTGCTGCACAAGGCAAATAAGATGAATGCAGAGAATAGTGGAAAGCTTGATTGCAGATCAGCATATTGGCTTTGGTGACGGTATCAAGAAGAGCAGCAAAGATAGAATTTGGTCAGTGCTTTCAGGAGAAATGCTGTGAATATTATCGTGATCCTCCTCCTTCATTTCATAAGCTAATCACCACCAGGGGTCAGGAGAAATTACTCGGTAGTAGTCCACAAATGTCAAGGTGTAAGGTGGGGAATTTTGTTTTCTTCTGAAGCATAAGACATAGATCACTGTCAAAGCTTTTTTTACAACTAGATGTAATGAGTGTTATATACTGTGTGTTTATGGAGTGTGTGCATGTGTGCATATGAGTGAGATTCCCAGTTGGTTTAAATCCATTGTCTTTGGCAAAGCTGCGTGCTGTACACCATTGAGAACTGGCTCTATTGCTGTTGATATGTTCATGCTTTCTTATTGTGTTCTCAAATTATTGTGTTAACTAGGCTACAGCTTGTGAGCTCTCTCTGTTTTTCAGGTTTATATTTCCTCAGTGATATTTTGCTCATGCACAGGCACATTTTGAAGGTCACCAGGTAGACTAACGTGCAAAGCTCTTTAGGAGAAAAGTTTTGAATATGCTTCTGATTCTCGTGTTCCAAATAATGATTCCAAAAAGAACAGCAAATTCCCAGTAAAAAAGAGGTATTTGCCTCTTCATATTTTATCTCATTTCCACTTGCTTCTATTTAAAATGTTTCGTAATAGTAACTATCCTTTCTGCTTTAAGCTGGAGAGTCTAAAAAAATGTACTTTGTATCGACATTACCAACCATTTAGTCTTGCACTTTTTTATTATAAGTTTGGGCTGGTTTGTATGCATATTTTTAAAACTAAGATTTAAGATTTACATATTATCAGGAATTTGATCTAACTTGAAAGGCTACTGTAGCCACAATAAGAATGAAAATAACCCTGAACTGTTGAAAATTCAACTCGAAGCACTCAAAGTGGTAATGACTGCAATAGTAGTTTTGTCGATATTTATAAATCAATACAAATCAGAAACTCGATGTTTTAATTTAATACAGTTCCAATGTAACTGATACCCTCAAGTTTAGAGCTTTAAGCTTTGTGAAGTGCGATGTTATTGCAGGGCATGCATCCAATTTTTAAAACATTATATAGATTGGAGACAGATGAGCTTTTCAGAATTATTTTAGGCCTATTTTGATTGAATGCCTGAGATGCATTTTCCACTGGAAATTAATTGCATTGATGTGAAAACAAATGAACTCCAACCTCAAAATTAGCTGCAGGTTCATGCTCGAACGAGTACTTAAAAGGGAGGGAGTGAGCACAGATAGTGACTGAAAATTACAGTGACAATATACACTTTGTTGCAAGAATAAAATAACCTTTTTTCAGTGCCTGCTCTCTTTTGGTGTCTCTCTTGGTGTGCATACGTACGTAATGAAAGAAATTTTCCCGTGTATTTGTGGTTGCATATGAGTGGACAATGGCTTTTACTAGCTGTCAGTTCTTCCTCTTGCATGCTGCTGGAAGTCTTTGCTGGCCTGTGTCGGCATCTGAGTGCCAATGAAATCTGCAGCAGCTGCTACCTGTAGTGCTTCTGGCATTGTCATGGGGCATTTCTGGAGCACACCATTCACTAATATGTGCTGTTCTGGGGGTTTTTGTTAGCAAACAGCAGCTAACATGATTTCCACCCTTCAATGAAATTCACCGTAGCTATGTAAAAAATGCTGAAGGTGAGTTTGGGATTCCTGTTTGCTTGACTGATGCTCTCCACCCATGGTAACACCCATTGACATGTAGGCAGAGAAGGCAACGTGAGCTTTTTAAATAACGAGAGCAGTCAGCGCTGCTCGGGGCTGATCTCTGTTGAAGTACAGCTGCAGCAGTTCTCCACAGCTTTGTTCTTTCTGCTTTGAAATTCACCTCTTCCTCGTGCTTCCCATCATTTGTACTAATACAGCTGTCAGTTGGGATTTTTGGCATGGTTAAGAGATGAAGCGTATGCAAAGGTTCCTCCTAGGAAATGGCATATATTCATTTTGATCTTTATGAAAGTTTGAAAGGAATTAGTGAAGTGGGTTGGGGGTGGGAAGCGGGTCACTGAAGATATATAGCTATTTGGCAGCTCTAAGATATTTTTACACCTGGAGGTGACTTGCTAAACAAATAATTGAGAGCAGACCCTAATGTACGTACTCTCTCCCTCCTCCCTCACTGACACTCACCGAAACAACCAGCAGGTTTGAGACACTGAGGATATTTGGGGCTGTGGCCCTCATGGGCCACGCGCAAGTGCCAACTCTTCTCTGGGCTGTAGAGAGAGCCTGGCATGACAGGAGCCTGTGCTGATGGCAGAAGTGCTCGGGAAGCAATCAACATTAAAAAGCACAGAGTTATCTCTATGGTATTCTTGTTAAAGGATGGTATTAAGAGCTGGATTTTGGCCTGCTGCTGATGTCATATGTCATCTGAGACATCTGTCTTCTGATTTTCTATTTTGCTTATGTGCTATTTTGTTTAATCTTGTTTGTATTTTCTTATATATAACCCTTATATAACCCTTTCTTAAAGATTTCTACAGTATGTGTTATTTTTATGGTATTTTTGGTGTTGAGGGTATATTTTAAATCTCAGTAAATAAATCATTTCACATGTATACACCTACTTGTTTTCCTCGCCAGTGACTGTGGGCAAACTCTGCTTTCTGTAGTGCATATGGCACAGCTGTGTCTTGTCAGAGTTAGACAGACTGAATCTGCCAGTGGCAGATGCTGGAGTGTTTTTCTCTCACTGTTTTCATTAGTCAATCTTTTTCAAGCAAAATTGTGATCAAATTGATGCTCCAGGTCCAACCATAGTGTTATGGTTATGTGTGCAAATACAATACCATGTGTTGTATTTCCACATGGTCTTCCCTTTGGCTTTGTACAAGCTCTAGACTAATAAAAATGAATGAGAAGCTGATGGACAAAGTTTTCTTCCTTTTCGTGGATACAAAGCTCAAGAATGTAAAGATCCAGATTCACTTCCCCCCTTCGCCCCCCCTTTTTTTTTTCGGAATTGCTGGAAGCTCCTTCTGTTGCACTATGTCTTTCTGTTGACTACCCACAGCGACTGTGTTTCTGTGGGGACCTAAGTTAGGTGCCTGAAGTGACTTGGCCACGATCAGAAACCAGCACAGATTTAAAGCCTTTCACTTAAGTAGCAATGTGGTGTCTTAATTCAGGACCCTTTTCCCAACATCTTTGGGCACGATGACCTTCCCGCTCTAACTTTTACAACATTGGATGTGAGGGCACATGCGGGGATGTTGAGGAAGAAGTCAGGAGATGTTAAGCCGTCCAAAGCATAAGGTCTCCGTAGCAGTCCTGTCTGCCTGCAGGCATATGAGAAGATCAGCAAGTACATCTTTCTTAGACACCCAGGCAGGCAAACATCTCCGAAACATGGGGCATGAAACTGCTGCCACAGCATCCATCATCCTGTGGAGGACAGTGAAAACATGTGCTGTCATCTTTGACATTTTAATTGAAAAGAAAGCTTACACAGATTTCGACCTTAACCAGTGTGTTTATACAAGTGTATACAGAGAAATAATCTGTCAGTTCAGAACAGGCTCATTGCTATAGGAGTTGGTTTAGTAATTGAACAATCCAACATTAGCTCACACACCTTGCCTTGTTCCATGCCTCAATAATTTTTAGTAGAAATACTTTGCCTAGAGGCATGCAGTTATTAAAAAAGAGGCTCAGCTTGCTTAAAGTCTGGAATTATTAGCTCATGGTAACAAGCCTGCACTGGAGAAACTGTTGGTTCTTTGTTTTCATGACTTTGCTGTAATTCACCATCTTATTTTCAGAGACAAACTTCTGCTTTGTTTGGGAAGTTAAAAAAAAAAAAAAGAACAAAAAAAAAGGAAAAATAGATCACTTCAAAAAGATCCTTTTTTTTTCACTTTTATTATAAAGCAGGGTTTACAAAGCTCTTTTATCTTAGTATTTCTATTAATTTCACTGCTCCAAACAGTAAGGGTAAACAGAAAGAGAATTTTGAGAAATTTGTTTTACCACATTTCCCGCATAGGGATCTGTTGGTAGTGAGTACTCACTGAGAATACTCAATACCTCACTCAAATTACCTCGCAGCCCTTTAAGAGTGAAAGGAGCTATCTCTCCATCCTTTTTACAACCTACTATTCTTTTCAGATGTAAAGTTATGAAGGTCAAATAAAAGCCATTTGCACTTATGTAAAGTGTTTGCGAATAGAGTCACTTGAGCAAATGAAGGCTCCAGCACCATTAGGTAGCACAAAACTGGCAGAAGAGTTAGCTTGGTGTTCAGTTGTCACTTTCATCTGGGTACTGGGGTTAAGTTTCTTTCCAGCTGTTTAACCTGTTGACATTTTTCCTCAGTGAGCCTTAAATTTTCAAGTCTTGAATTTGCTTGCCAGGCTGGAGTCTTAAGCCTGACCCTTAAAAAGAATGGACATGTTGGAAAGTGTTTGTGTAAGCTTAATAGCTGTTATTATTCCTGGTTTTAAGTCAGCTGCCATTTGGTACATTTGTGTATTATTGCTACTCTTTTTCTTCAACGAAAATTGATATACCTTTATTTGTAGTGATGCAAAATAATTATTTTTCCTGAAGAATTAAGCTTGGTCCTGTCTGAGCTGCAAGACCGCAATGACAATAGAATCAGTTTGACATCGTTGCTTGCTTTTATGATCAAATCATGTTTATGCTGCAGTTTTTTGTTTTTATCACACTTTTTATTTTATTACAAGAATGTGTTTTTATGTGAATTAGTTCCTTATAATCCCTTGAACCTGCCTTTTGCATTGTTTCCTTGTTTTGTTTTAACTATACCATTATCCTCCATGCATCATTTGTGAGTTCCAGCTGTGTCCATAACACTGTGCAGAACATAAACTTCTCTGAGGAGGTTGTAGTCTAAGAAACCATTCTAGCTTTTCTTATTTTTCTTGTAATGGGTCAGGCAATAAGACCCAGTGAAATATTTAGAGGGACGGAAGATTGAAACCAGCAGTTTCTAAGACCTGTAAGAGCCAAAAGGCAAATGTTAATGGGTTCTGTGAGGCTTCCAAGGGCCTGCTGGTCCTTGTACTTATGCTGAATTTGCAGAGGTTCCTTAAACATGTGTTCAGGAATTATAGGTGGCATTAGCACAACTGGAGTTTCTAAAGGCAAGATTTATCATTGACTAAATCTTAAATAGAGTTTGGCCCACTAAATACGTTACAGCAGTGGGGCTGCTGATCTGTGGGGCTTTTCGCCTACAAGCTCGGGTGAAAAGTACAGAATTCTTAACAAATTTTGGAGATGTTTTTCCACAGGTTTCTAGTATTTTACTGTACAGATATCCATTCCCTGTCCTTTTAAAAAAAATTATTATTCCTTCCCTTCAGTTAGATGTTTTGTTGCTGTGAATTAAAGCAAGTGAGCAAGGACGCATTTCTGATGGAGTTGCTTTGTTCCTAGTGAACCACTTCTCATGTAACATCAAGGGATATGTGAATTCAGAAGTAACATCTCTTGCTTGCTTTTGACTTTGTCCATATCATTTCATATCTGTATGCTGCATCTTGCTCCTTTTGTGTTGCTTGTTGCTGAATTCCTTCTACCTCTGTGCCAATGTATAGCTTGTTATCTTAATTGTGCCAGCTCTCCTCAGACACATGGGCTTTTTCTTCAGTTCTGGATTAAGCTGCTTGTCTTTAAGACTTTTGCAGCTTAGCTTTATCTTATCTTGGTCCTCCAGTTTCTCATTACAGTGTCAAGCATCACTTTCACTTTTCCAATGTCTTTACCATCAGCTAGTTTCTCTTTTCCAAACTGAAATCTCCTCTTGTCCAAAACTGGTAACAAATATACGTGTTACCTTAAGGTAACACATATATGAAAATATATGCACACTCTCTTTAAAAATCTCTACAGAAAGCATAGCTTTGTCTGGATGTTCCCCAAATCCCCTAAGTTGAGAGCCACAATTTTCCCTCTCTGGAGTATTGCCCTTCCTGTGTCTCAATCTTAGTTACTCCCTTCCTTTTGCAAACTTCCTCGGTCCTGTGCTTTCTGAGCATACAAGTTAAATAAAAAACATACAAAGAAACAAAAAAGCAACCAGAGGAGTGCCACTAAACTGTCTCAAATTCTTCAGCATATTTATTTACTTGTGTATTCTATCTCCGTCTTCTACTTTTCGTCTGTTTTGTGCCCCTAGATTGTAAACACACTGTGTAAGAATTGTCTCTTATCTGTGTTTGTACAGTGCCAGGCTCAATGGGGTCCCGGTCCCAACTGGGACCTTTGGGCACCGCCACAGTATAAATGTCTGCTACTGATAATAATAATCTACCCACATCATGCAGATGTCTGAATTGTCTGAGAAATGCAAACAAGGATCTTTACTAGATTGGCAGGGAGCCATTAATTTTAGGTGCCAGTTTTCTTTTCCCCTGAATATGGTTTGGCTCTCTGAAAAACCTGGTGACACAAACCTCCCACTTCTTGGAAGGCTTGGCCCTCTGGTGATGCTGTGATTAAAATATGGTTAAACATGGGATATGGCAGGTCAGGTGAGGTCCCTGCAACTATGCGAGGTATTCCAAGTGCTTGTCTGATGCTTTGTTGCTGCTTTGCTTTGTGTTTGTTTTTTCTTTCCTCCTCTGAATGACAAATTAATAAATTGAAAGTGGTCACAACTGCCCTACTTTTTGGGGAGAGGGAGCACCTCAAATAGTGGGCCACAAATGAGGAAAGCTATAGTTGGATTGATAGGCTTAAATAATGGCACAGTGGATCAAATAACAGCAGACCAGCAGTAAGTGAGGCAACCCCTCCAGTCAGTACACTTTTTTCAGGTTAATACATCCCGTCCACATCTTTGTCCTCTGACTGAATTTTTCAAATATTGAAGGCCAAGGACAACACTTGGGTCAGGTACTCTGGCTTTAGTTGCTGCTGTGGAAGCGGTCTGCAGCTGGTCTGTAGAACCACATGGTCCAGTGAACTTGCTGCTTAACAATTAAAAATTGCGACGATACCTGGTTGTCCATGAGACATTCAGAGAGTAGACCATAGCCAACTTTGCTCATTCTCAGCATGGTAGCCTACTACTTGGGTTCTTCATCCTGAAAGCCACCCAAACCACATGCACATACTGACACATCTTGAAAAGGTTCAGGTTACTGGTATGCAGTGGTTGCTTCTCGTTACATTGGTCCTAATGATATCACTGAAGCTTTGTTCACCTGTGTCTCCCTATTGCTCCCACTCACTCTTCCTCATTTTATCCTTGGTCTATAAGCTTTTTGGGGCAGGGCCTCACCCACAGTTTTTAAACCAAGGCTTCTAGGCACTGTTGTAATAAATATCTGTATGTATATACATATATATGTATATGCATGTATATGAAAATGATGAAAGCCTGGGCAAGTCTGTGTTGCATAACTGGAGTGTGGTACAGAAATCCCTGAGCCAGTGCTGACCCAACATGGCAAATTGCCACAGAACAACCAGCCACCTGTGGGCTGCTCCTTTGTGAGCTGGCTGGGTCTGGAGGCCATAGAAAGTCAAGAGATGAGTTCCTTTGCTCCAGTGCAACTCCACATACTTAGGGCTTTACTTTTTTCCACACCAGATCCAACTAAAGTAGAACAAACTGGATTGTTTGTAGGTATTCTTGCTGACCTTGCATGAACACTATGAGCAGGAGAGTAAGGAGCAGGAGAGAGCTCATGGTAAGACCCACTGACCCACAGTGCTTTACCATAATAGAAAACATACTGTGGTGATACTTTAAATAGCATCAGTCCTTCTGCACATAGCCCTGAATGGTCTAGGTCATGACCTAGGCATGAACCTAATCTCACGAGACCTCAGCAGCAAATTCTCAGCTGCAGAAACTTTCCCTTGACAACTACAAGTTAAGGGAAGCCCAGTCTTTTAATAGACAATATAGTGTTTAGTCATCAGACAATCTAGAAAACTGGGTCAGATAGGTGTTGCATCATAGCAGACAGAATATTTGGTATTAATCAAGAAGGCACATAGTGAAGTGTATATCGTAGATATTTGGTTACATTAGTTCAGTTATCTTTAATCGTCGGGTAGAGTCATATGATGGAACACGATCGAGTCACCATGGCTTAGCAGGGTACCACCCATCTGTTTAAATGTTAGTGAGGATGACTCATAGTGTTAGAACGACCGTGTGAGGGAGGGGAGCCAGTGTGGTCAGTTACAGCAGCTTGGCTAACATGTAGTATTTTACTAAGGCACCGTAACGCTATCCATCCAGGCCACGTACACCCAAAGAGACAGTGTACAAATACTGACTGAGGCCCCATCGTGTCCAACAGCAGGCTCCTGCTGGAACAGAATGAAAATTCTTGAATTTGGGAAAAAACCCGTGGATAGCCAGATTTTCAGTGAGGTTGGGCACTTGCCAGTTCTCTATCTTATCTGTCCTTTATTTGTGGGCTGTTTGCCCAACAACCCTATTTATTTAGCAACACAGGTGCCGAGGAATTAAAATCCCTCAGTCAGCAATATTGACTGACAGGCTACAGCCAGCACCTCCTCAGGATTTACAAAGAGAGGAGCAGAGTTGACGTGTCCAACATTAAAAATAACAATTATAAACTCTCACTGACTTTCTTTGCTGCAGGATAGAAGGCAACAACAAAAGAGATTATGTTGTCCTTGGAAGGAGAAGAAATGTCTTACACAAATTGAGTATCTCAGCGTGTACGGTTCTGGGCCATGTGTGTTCCCTGAGCTCTGTACGAGTGTGCATGCATGCTTGTTAATCAATGACCTGTATTCAGTGAGGAAGCAATAGAAGCATCCATGAGTACTGGCTGATCTCAGCTTCCCTGATGGGGAGCGAAATCTGGTGTACATTGTGTAGCACTTCTATTGGTGGCAGCAGCGGTGCAGACTTTTGGACAAAGAGGGTCAACCTTAAAGCACAAGATTTCTCTGAATGCTCTGCAGCTCTTTGCAAAAACACACTTGGGAACAGACTAACAGGAGTGTAGCAAGAAAAAATACCTGAAGTCCTCTAGCTAAGTGTAAAGCAGAACCCCAAAGCGAAGCAGCATTAAAGGTGAAACTGGGGACAGCAAGGAAGCTTCTTTGCCATTTTAATAAATACCAATAATTCCCTTTTGCCCAAGTCCCATATTCCCAAACTTATTAAAGCAATTTTGGAAATGTTTTTGGCTCTGTAACATATAAGCAAAACTCAAACCATGCAGTCCCTTGAGAATCACTTGCACAAATTGCGTAGGTCAGACCAAAATAAGTTTCTGTCAAACAGCCTAACACCTAAGCTTATTATGAAACTGGTGAATTGTACAAAGGGTCTGTATGTGGGACAGTCTCAGAATGAGTAAAGGGGAGGGGGGCTGTTGTCATAGTATTTGTTTTACTTTGGTTCCACTGCAAACTCAAGTGATATTTTTATTGAATGCGTTGCTCCTGTTAGCCAGTGCAGTTCCCATAGGCTGTGTCTAAGCTGGTGGGGTGGACCCAGAGGGCTCCAGAGCTCCAGCAAGCGGGTGGGTGCACACCTCAGTCTCATCCCAGGACAGGCATGGGAGTGCACCCACGCTCTCTCCTTTCCTGCCGGCTTCTCCGTGCCTGGTGTCCTGGGAGGAAAGCGTGTGTGCATCCCTGGCAGGAGCTGCAGCACATCTCTTCAGCTCCTCAGCCCCTCCAGCATGGGGGTCTCAGCCCTTCCATCCAGCAGCTGCCACACAGACTTTAAAAGTACGAGATACAGAAGACCTGTCTGAGCTTGTTGTCTGCTGTTCTGTAGGGCTGTAGTTGTGATGAGGATGGGCTGGTGGGAAGTGGACTTGGCTTGTGGAGGTCACCACAGCCTCTGGAAACCAAAGTGTGATCATTCTCCTCCTCACATTCAGCTTGGTATCTCCTCACTTTTTTCTTCTCAAAGGATCACTGAATCTGCTTTTTGTGCTATTTTGACCCTGTCCTTATGATTCATCAGTCCTCCTGTGTGAAGGAGTGCTGGCACATGGAACAGCTGTGGTTTAAGTGGAGAATAGGACGGGTCAGGGGCTGTGCACTTTAAGTGTATTTTCTGAGATAACTTTTCCTGCACCACATCCATTTCACTTACACCACCTCCACAGCTCCCCAGGCTTAGCCATGTGCTGAGCTGACCGTAGAGTCCCTTGTCCCAGAAGCTGATTCCTGCTCCCTCACAGAGCTTCTTGCACCCTCTCACAGGGTTACACCATGTATTTGGGAGATACTGTCTTGAATTTCTTCGGGGGGGGATGTGAAGATATAAAGTACATCATACTCCTCCATCAGCAGATAACCAGGGAGGCATAGGAAGAGCTTCTTGTCTGTATCTGAGATACATTTGTTATTGTTTTGAATTTTTTTTCCCCTTCTGAATAACTACTTTATGTGTCTGGAAGGATTTTTAAACACAGGCTTTTTCTCTCCATGGAGAACCAAAACAAAAGGATGGGTTCAGTCATGTGTAGCTGCTAAAGAGAGGGCAGCTGAGGGCAGAGGGGTGTCTGGGTGCGAGGGAGTGGGCAGTGCAAGGACTTTGAGGAGGCATTTGTTGAAACAGAAATATTTGTGGGGGGAATGGGCTTGAAGAGAGGAGGGGTGAAGGACTGAAGGTCCAAGGATGGGAAATACTGGGGAATTTTAGGGAAGAGAGGATTAGGTGGTCTGAGCTCTGGGCAGAAGTGGATGAGATTTGTAGATCACAAGAAGCTGGTGTTGCCATGAGAGAGGCACCTCTGCTTTGGGAGCCTGGATCTGGTGTCCTCCATACAGGATATCTATGAATCCCATTGCTCACAGCTTTTGGCCTCTTTCCTTGTTGTTAGATAAATGGAAGTGACTAATAAAGTTAGAGGAGGGGCCTATATATTCATGATTGCCAGTATCACTTACAAGTGGAGGGGCAAGAGGTGAAGCTCCATCATTTGGTGTGATGCAGTCGGTTCAGAGCAAGTGGGAGAAGCAGCTGTCTTCCCCCTCGCACCTCTGAGGTGATGACTTTGCTTCCCTGATCAGACCAGCCTGATTTTGATGCTTTCATGGCTAGCTGTGGATTTGTCACTGAAGCAAAGGATGCTTCTGCCAAGGCTGAAAATCAGCCCTGATATTTAGAGGCTCCAAACATCTTTAGAGTCTGTGCTCCCCTCTGCAGAGGCTGTTTAAGCTCCAGGATTATGCTTCCTTCTCTCTGGTCCTTCTCATACCTTTAGGGGTATCTCTCCTCCCTAATAAACAGTGTAAACCACATACTATGCTGCAGAGCATCCTGCTCTGTGAGAATTTAACATGTTAACTTGTAGTATTAAAGTTTGTTGAGGCACTGTATGTGAAAGCTTTCTTATTTTAATGCTTTTTGAAAAGGTAACAAGTTACATTATACACCAAACTTCAAGCACCTCGTACCTTCTTCAAAACTAAAAAAACAAAACCAAAAAAATGATTAATTTAACTAACTCCCAAGACCACATTCTTAAAGGCTATTTCCAAAGAGTAGTCCCAGCCTTGTTTAACTGATTAATTTTATGATTTTTCTTCTTTGTGAGTAGGCCTACTTTCTCACATACAGTCTTTTCCCTGTGCTGTACTTAGAAAAAGCCTTCTAAATATTTTGAACTCCTTTTGCCAAAATATCTCTGCTTTTTTATAGTCTGTGCTTTTTACCTTTACGAGCTACTTAATCTGAATGTAATTTTGCTGATTTTCTTTCTGTTTTTTTTTTTTTTCTGTTTATTTTTTTTTCCCCCAATTTTCTGTGCCCTGTTGACATGCTAACTGGTAAAATCAGGAACCTCATTTTAGAACAAAGGCTAGATAGAGTTTCACAGGAGAGAATATCAAGAGCAAGATGAAATAGTACTTTTAGAGTAGTTTATTTACGGGTGATAAAATTTCAAAATTAATTTAAGATTGTTAAATTTGCTGGTATAGTCTGCAAAGCTATCACCCAGATATTTCCTCAGGGGTAAATTTACAGCAATGCAGTGATGTGGCATGCCAGGAAATTTTCCTGCTTTGTCCACAGAAATCCATAGAGATCCATATACTGAGACTGGCTGTTATGTTTACATTCATATTCTGTCAGGTGAACTATACCAGTGCTTTAACTGATGCATAGTAGAGGGAAGGTGATTCTTCTGTTTCTTGAAAACTTTCTGTTCTACGGATTTATGCAGGAGAGGACAAATGCTGGATTGGCTTATCTGCGCCTGCTTGTCTAGAGTTGCCGGTGCCTAGCAATGGCTGGCACAGTAAGGCCTGTTTTGGTGTCTGTAGCCTGTGACAGCTTTCTTTCCTTTTCTCCTAGGCCTGTCCCAGGTTCTCTGTCTTCACTACTGCACCTACACAACCGACAAAGACAGCCTATGCCTGCCTCTATGCCTGGCACCCTGCCTAACCCCACCATGCCTGGATCTTCTGCTGTACTCATGCCTGTAAGTTTTTTGTTTTGGGGTTTCTGGCAGGGAGAAAGGTTGGCTTTTTGCTCGATTCAGCCAATGCAGAGGTGAAAGTCTGCTGGATTTTCTTAAAAATCAAAGTGTAATGAGTTAAGGAATCTGGACTTTTTTTTTTCACTGCTTCATCTTATACAAGAGTATTTCTGGTGCAGTTAATGGCTTGTTAATTAGTGTGAAAGAGATTAGAAACGGTTTTACATGAGACTACAATTTCTGGTTCTTGCACGTGGACATGTAGGTGAGATCAGTATGTCCTGGAACAAAAAAATTTTTCTCAAGTCAGACAAAACTGGAAAAGCCATGTGCATAGTGTATGCCAGTGAACTCTAAGTAATCCTCTTGTTTGTGAGAGATAATCAGCTAACAAATGTGACTGACTTTTCCATCCTGGTAACTTGCACTTAATTAGAATTTGGTCATGATTGTCGCTCATCTTCCACTCATTTCTGCAGAGATGGGAATATTTCCCATCTTCTGGGAGACAAAGGGTGCTTAGCAATTGTAGCTTCAATTTATTAGATTATTTTAACAACCCTTTCAGCATAAGGGGCATATTTCAGTATATTTGGGCAGATTAGGGATGGAGATCAGTAAGGATGGCAGAGGGAAAGGAGAAGGTTCTGTTTCATTCCGTGATGTTCAGTTTGGAAGACAACCTGAGAGCAATCGACCACAGGAGGGGGGAAAGCACTGCTTGTTCTGGCTTTGCTGGAGCAAGGGGGCATTCCACAGGGCTGCAGAGATTCAGGTTTGGCTGCTATTTGAGCAGTCATTAATAAGTTATTAATTAGTAACTTGTCAATAAGACTCTCCTGAAATATTGACCAGGAAGTTCAACAAAAAAAAAGAAAAAAAAAAGAAAGGCATAGAATCCTAGAATCATAGAATGGTTTGGGTTGGAAGGGACCTTGAACATCATCGAGTTCCAACCCCTCTGCCATGGGCAGGGACACCTCCCACTAGACCAGGTTGCTCAAAACCTCATCCAGCCTGGCCTTGAACACCTCCAGCAATGGGGAATCCACAGCTTCCCTGGGCAACCTGTTCCAGTGTCTTGCCACCCTCACAGTAAAACATTTCTTCCTAATATCTAATCTCAATCTAACCTCTTTCAGTTTAAAACCATTACCCCCCGTCCTATCACTACAGTCCCAGAAAAAGAGTGCCTTCTCATCTCTACTGTAGGCCCCCTTTAGGTACTGGTAGGCTATAAGGTCGCCCTGGAGCCTTCTCTTCTCCAGGCTGAACAACCTCAACTCTTTCAGCCTGTCCTCATATGGGGGGTGCTCCAGCCCTCTGACCATCTTCATGGCCCTCCTCTGGACTTACTCCAACAGGTCCATGTCTTTTTTATGTTGGGGACCCCAGAGCCGAACACAGTACTCCAGGAGGGATCTCACGAGAGCAGAGTAGAGGGGGAGAATCACCTCCCTCAACCTGCTGATCACACTTCCTTTGATGCAGCCCAGGACATGGTTGACTTTCTAGGCTGCAGGTGCACATTGCTGGCTCATGTTGAGATTCTCATCAACCCACACAGTGAAGTCCTCCTCAGGGCTTCTCTCAAGCCATTCTCTGCCCAGCCTGTATTTGGGCTGGGGATTGCCTCAACCTATGTGCAGGACCTTGCACTTGGCCTTGCTGAACTTCATGAGGTTCTCATGGGCTCACCTCTCAAGCCTGTCGAGGTCTCTGTGGATGGCAGCATCCCTCCCCTCAAGTGTGTCCACCCCACAGCTTGGTGTCGTCAGCAAACTTGCTGAGGGTGCACTTGATCCCACTGTCCATGTCGCCAACAAAGATGTTAAATAGTACTGGTCCTAACACCGACCCCTGCAGAACGCTACTCGTCACCAGTCTCCACTTGGACATCGAGCCATTGGCCACGACTCTTTGAGTGCAACCATCCAACCAGTTCCTTATCCACCGAGTGGTCCATCGCTGTGGGCATTTTTTTCTGTCTTGATTCCCAAGGAACTTGAAATGGAGCAAACATGCCACTTCAGTGTAAGCGCAGAGGCTACAGGTTGCTGCCGGGGACCCTTCTAGGCAGCTCTGCTTGCAGACAAGCAGGTGTGCTCTGGCTGAGAGCCCCAGAGATATGAGCATAGAGGCGAGACAGAGCCCATCAGCGCTGGCTGCTCCAGCTGCAGCTCCTGCCACACAACCCTCCTGAAAGGGCTGCAGAAGAGATGGCAGTGGGAGCTGCTCCTGCCCCATGGAGAGGGTGAGGGGCCCTGACAGAGACAGCTTCTCTCCCCCAGGCCCAACACCCATTCTTGCTGGGATCATGGAGGGTGGGAGTCAATACCTTACCACAGGGCACAAAAAATAGCTCCCCTTTTTGGAAGAGTTCAGGAGGATCCAAAAGCTTCTTTCTTGTATGAGCCAAATATTCCGGGGACTGGCACAAAGCAAGGCAGGGTGCTCAGCTCCCTACTTTTCACCCCTACCAGTGACTAATGGTGTAACAGGGTTTGCCTCTTTTCGGGGAAGACACGCCAGGAAATTATTTTATCCAGGCCTTACTGACATTAGGTTTTGTTTGAAAATTGTATCCCTCCCTCCCAGCCTAGTGAGATTAGCTTGCAGAAAGTGCCCAGAGTAGCCGGGAGGAGTTCTTTGTTTTTTTGCTATCTCAGCAGTACATGAAAGCCTCCCTTACAAGACATATGGAAAACTCTTCTCAGCTGAGCAGTCTGAGTGAAGGAAAAAGAGCCAACTCATTTTCCATATACTTGAGATTGTAGATTTTTATTTATGTTTTTAGCAAGCTAAGTTGGGCTGCACTGACAGGGGAAGCCACAACTTTATACAGTGATGCTTTTAAAACCACTTAACTGTGAGTGTTGTTATACTGAAAGGGAGAAAATCATTACAAAAAAGTGCAAACCTGGGTGGCTGCTACATTTGTTTAGTAAAGAAGCCTTTTCTTTATAATTGGCTGTGAGTTTTCAGGGCTGATTCTGATAAAACACATGCCTGCATGCATACACATATGCAATTCACAACACAGATTGTTATTTTTCCAGTCATGACTTAAAGAAATAAAGCTGAGTCCATTTAAATAGAAATCGAGTGTAAATTCTTCCAAATGTCTCCAGAAATTTTGAAACTTTTTTTTTTGTCTTTTTCTTTTAAAAGATGGAGCGACAAATGTCAATGAACTCCAACATCATGGGAATGCAGGGGCCGAACCTCAATAATCCATGTGCTTCACCTCAAGTCCCCCCAATGCATTCAGAAGCCAAAATGGTAAAAAGAGAAAATGAAAAAAAACCCACATTTATTTTCTTATATTGCTCTAGCATGCTGGTTACCCAGACAGTGGAGGATGTAGCCAGACACTGCTTACTTCATTCTTAGTCATATGTTATACCTTTTTTAAATACACTGCAGTAAATTGCTTTTGTGTCTATGAACTTTCAAGATGTTCCTAGTCCTAGCTAAACTCTCAGTGAGAAGGAAATGAAGGGTGGGCTATCTGATCCATACTGTGTTAAATAGGATTTTTGGTGCATAATAGCAGAATTTAAGCAAATAGTCTGGCTGGTTCTTTGATGGGGTCTGTACTCCACAACTTGGCTTAAAGAAAATTGTCAGTTAGTAGTCAGTGAAGTAAAAAGTGTCTGATGTGGAGGGAGTGTACATAGTCTTTGTTTTTTCCAGATAGGTGCATGGTGTCTCAGGGTAATGGCAGCGTTAGACAAGCAGACCGAATGATGTATATAAAACTGGGATATTTTAATTTTCTTGAGTGGAACAAGGTGTTGCCATCAAAAAGAAGAGTCAGAATTTGGACAAAAATAATTTATTTATAGGGGTCAAATGTCATAGTGGTTTTTAAAGTTGTTGTATGTCTTACAAGGCTGAGGCTTCTCAGGCATATGTACTCCTATAGGATTAATGTAGGTAAACTAAACTACAAATGGGCATTTGTAAGTTTTCCCCAGCTTTATATGCACTCTCATAGAGGGATTTGGCTCTAATACCCTGGAACCACGTTCACCAATGTAAAAACACTTAGGCTTTTTCAGTTTCAAAAATGCCATGTGCAGGCTAGTGGAAATACAAGGACAGAGGTTTGTAGTTTAACTCTGTAGGGTTTTTATCCTCTCAAGATATCTCATCATAGTGGAAAACAGGAGTAACTTCATTGAACTTCTTTCAGTGGCATTTTGCCAAGGTAAAATTGTCATAAGTGAGAGAATGAAATCAAGCCGACAAAGATTAAGCAACCACATGTTTTTATATATTTCTACTTTGCATGACTGGTACAGCTTTTAAAGTTGCTGTCATCTGTCCTGAGGCAAAGAAAAATATCTTCTTGTCTGTAGGTATGGTGCATGCAAGATAACTCTTGGTTAAGAGCAACAACTTATATGAGCTTATTCTATCTCTGTTTTTTTAGATTAGATAGGTCATGCCTTCGCCTCACTGTTGGTCTGCGTTAGGCTGTTAACCCAACCTCTGTTAACACCGCGTCTAAAACCACACTCTGTAAACATGCAGCCAGTTGGCCAGAAGAAGAGCAATAGCCAAAAGCGCTGGCTCCCCCAGCCAAGGAAAACCTGTGGTCAAGAGTTCTCTCTCTGCTGTACCACACAGTCATGGTGACATGCCAAATGGCAACAGCATCTGCAGCAGAGCTTGTTAAAAACTTTTTGGAATAGGCGAGTGTTTTTTCAACTCAAGTGTAGCTGAGCCAAGCTAAATACTCCTTGGCTGAATAAATCTAAAACTGGCATCTGTTTTGGGGACTAAAGGTTCTGTAGTTTACTCTCCCCCCACCACCACCTGCCTTTTTTACTGGAAATGTGAGGCTACTTAAGAACAAGATTGAATTATTAGTGCATATGGTGAGAATTCTGTGCATTAACAGATGAAACTGTACATTAATACAAATTACTTTCTAATCTGGATAAGCAGGTTTTGTTCCTAAACCTAATGTATGAATGCATGGTTCTTTCAATCAGAAATTGCTATCAGTTCCAAAACACAGTATGGTGAACAAGCAGCCCCTTTGCTTCTCAGGGGCCTTCTGCCACTCTTCCAGAGGTGGAAAAAATCCACGTGCATTAACTATTAAGAGTAAGAGGTATAATCCAGAACTCGAGGACCTTTCTTCTTTTTGAATGCAGGGTTTTTTTTAATATTCTATATTCTAGTTTTTTACTTCTTTTCTGTTTGAGCACACATGTAATGTTGAAAGCCTCTTAGTTTAGCCACTGCTTTGAGGAGTATGAATCTCTTAACAATACTCTGCATGAATACGAAGTGGAAAAAATGTAGGAAATATGCAGAGCAAAATTATTTCTTACATGTAAGTTCATGAATTTAAAATCTGAATCATCTGTATTACAGCATGTTTGTTCTTATTATTAACTATTTTACTTTGCTTCATGTTCAAAGCATGAGACTTGGCATACTCTGGTGAATTTTTTTTAAAAGGTGCAAAATGAAGGTGCTTAGAACCTTACTGTTTTGCGTCCTGCATTAGGAAGCAATTTCAAATTTTCCCAGATGTTGCTAATTCTATTACTGCTGGTGCATCCAGTACTGTGTATGTTCTCTTTGGCTGGCCCACTCTGTGAAGAATATATGTCTTCAACACTAGGCAGAGTTGCTGCTTGTGGCTAATGACTGCAGTAACTGGAGAAGTTTGGGGGACTTTGGGCCCAATTCATCAGCCGTCCAAATCTGTAGCAGATGGATCAGCATTTTCTTTGTGCCTACATGAGAGAATGCAGGACAGGATCCTCTAGGTCTGAGACCCAGATGTGAGACCAAATCCTTCTGGCCTCATGAAAGTATGTACCTGAGCAATGCCAACATGATTTGGTATGCCGCAGTCATAACACTAGTTGGTGATGCATGTGACTTAATTTGCTTCTGTTAAATAAATATCAATAGATAATATCAGTGTGGATGCTGTGTGATGCCAGGCTTTTTTAGAGAAAGCAGATAGATGGCAAAAGATTCACACCCTCGATTAGTCCATAATCAGTTTGTAGTAGGAGATGGAAGCCAGTCTGACAAATACATACATATATGAGCACTTATATGGACACACATAGAATATAGATTGCATTAATATTATGATTCTATAATATGCAATTTTTTTATCTATACATATTTTAATCAGCTTGTATTACCTGGCATTTATAGAAAGCCACACACTGCCACTCAAGATGCTCATTTCTTGTTTTAATTTTTTCTGGAGAATGTTCCTTCAAATATTAAAGTATTGTAGATGACATCCGAGAACTGATTTAATTTATCACAACAATCTCAGTTTCCCACACAGTGTGCCTCTCAATTAGGTTATCACTTAGCACTTTCAAACTGTCCCAGTAAATGAATGAGTGAACATCTAAATCAATACTGCTTTCGTTTTAGATTCAGAGCTGAGTGGATAAAACCTTTCTGCTACCTACCAAAACCACATTGATTTTGTATTAAAATATATTGCATTGGAAAGTGGAGGAAACATATAGCTGTAAGTGTACATGGTAAAAAATGCAGAATAGCACGTGTAGCATATTAACATGTGGTTCAGTAGGCTGAGAATATTATGAACTCGGAATTGTTGGCGGTGCATTTGCCTTAATATACTGCTTACATACAGTTTGGTTTGCAGTTCCAGAGTATTCAAGGTTTTATAACTCAGAAGTGCAATACCATGTGAAGTACTAGAGTGAAAGATAAATAGCGTGCACTGAACCACTGGACAGCTGCGTCACAGCAGTTGTTTTTGGTGGAGCTGATGCCTCTCTATCTGAATTTTGCAAGGCATTGATCTTTACCTGTAGAGATTTATGAGCTCTGAAAGGAGGTATAAAAGGCAGGCTGGCAATGAAAATAATCGAACTTAAAACCACAGTTTTCAATTTGACCTGTTAATTTTTTATTTTGCCTTCTCCCTCTGCCCCTTGCTGGATACATAGTTTTATAAAATTTAAATAAAATGTGTTATGTGTGGCTTGGATGTGCCTGCCTTCCTGACAGAATCTCTATGATTTAAAAAAAAAAAAAAAAGTTATTTTCATATCAGATGTAGGACTATGGGCTATTGTTTCTTCCTTCTGATTACTAGGTTGAACAGTAATAATAAGAAAATTAATTTGAAAGTGTCTATCAGATGTAAGAGTGAAAACATGACCAGAAAAGAAAAGTAGTAAACCAGTAATAAGCATGTTCCTAATTATAATGGTAAAATATCCATACTAACTGGACCTCATAATTTACCTAAGAATGCTAGACAGCTTTGGTGGAGGAGGAGGAGAGAGGTGAAAGAAATTGCGGTTAGCCAGTTGTCATCAGCACTAATTCTGATTCGATTTAATGAGAGTTAAGGGTCCAGATCCTACCGGTGGCTTTGAAAATCCCGATCCAAGTGTTGCTCAGCTCTCCATCCCAGCGGAAAGGCAGGACTGACCGTGGGGATCTGGGTGCATTTCATACAGCTGTCAGACAGGCACTGCTCGCGTTCTCCAGAAACAACCAAGTGGGAAAGGCTCAGCCACAAATCTGGCCAACTTTCTTCAGATGCATATTGGGGACTGCGTTTGAATGGAGTCTTCTGTTCCTTGTTTTACAAATTATGTGCATTTCTGTGCCCATGAGCTGTGGTGGTGCAAAGGGAGAAACTGCTGGAGTCAGCTCTTACCCCTGGCCCCGGCTTGGTACTCGGCTCAGCTGTTGCAGCAGCCACTGGATGTGAAAACAAGAGTGCTGCCCTAACAGCAGTGGCATACTCGGACAGTCTGGGAAGGACATCCTGCTAGGCACCGGCTCTGGGCCCAGGGCTGCAAGGTTTCCATCCTGATTTCAGGCAGGTGGCTGGTGCTGGCAGTCCAGGCAGGATCTAAGCCACTGAAGATGTAAGTTTAGCTACTTAATGCTTTATGACTGAAGATATTTTGTTAAATATAATAAATGGTTTGAAGTCTGTGTTTTCCTATCAAGTTGGCTGGGAAAGGAGTCGCTTCAGTAGAGCAACACACATTGCTTCAGGGCCAGAAGGCTTTTCTTTGCACAGATTCTGGACTACCAAGCAGAAGGAAAAATGTCACACATCTGTAGAGCTTTCAGCAACAGTTTTTCATCTTGGCCTTCACAATTAAGCAATGAATGCAGCGTAAGAAACAAAAATGTGCAATGTGAAGCCTTCCTATACACCAAAAAAAAAAAAAAAGACAGTACAAAATTTCCTGTATGGATAACTGAGAAATGTTTTTGTTTTCATGTTTTCA